CCCAGACACCCACAGCCACCCAGTACAGACCCACAGACACCTGCAGGCCCAGGCCCAGGCCCAGGCATGCACATGCACACACACACACACACACACACACACACACACACACACACACACACACACACACACACACACACACACACACACACACACACGCAGTTTTTTCTCTGTACTTGTGTTTTTATAATCACCGCAAATGCCAGTTAGGAAGGTAATTTTTCATATCTCTTTTAAGATAGTTGCCAGTGACTTTGTCAGTCAAGCAAGTCTATGAAAATAAGTGAGAGGAACAGAAAAGATCCCAGTTGTATAGAAATAATTCTCAGTAGTCCAGGACCACCCAGGAACAGAAATTCTGCCTCCCTGCTGAAATGCTTTGGTGAATTCCTCAAGTTAAGTCCTGTCGCTGTGCCAGAGAAGCAAAGCCCATTCCTGGTTCGAACCATGATATTTCCCCTGTGCGTGCCTTTTCCCTCTCAGTCTGTCATGACATCCTTTAAGTGCCGCCCCCAACCAGCCTGTCGCCCATCATATGGCGCAGTTTATCAGCAACACTGGTGCAATATCCACTTTTGAGTTGAAAACAAGCTCCATATAGTGCACGTATGCTTCCCGAAACTGGGAAAATATTTATTTTCATGTGGTAGCTGTGAAGTTAGAATTAAGCTCTCTGCTGTTTATAATTCAACCAACATCACTTTCACTTTCTTCTACAGCTTGCCCCAGTTTTTCTTTCCTTTTCTAATTACAGCAGCTGCTTTTGTGTGTTTCCCTGGGATGGGCAGAAATTTTTTGAACTTATTACAGTCCCTATTTAGGAAAATGTCTGTGGCAAACAATTTCTTTTTGATCATTTTTTAGAAAAGGAAAATGACTAATGATGAAATGAGTTATTAGTGACTTTTTAAACCTATAATTAAGAGGCTCTTATCTTAATCTTATTTTCCCCTTTCTTCTTTAAATCCCAGATGCCGAATGGCTTGCCCACAGTGAACAGCTATGTCACAGCACCCAGCATCCCTCCCTACCACCCTCCCACCCAAGTGTCACCCTACATGGGGTACAGCGCCACCACGTCGGCCTATGTGACCGGACCCACGTGGCAGCCAGCCAGTGGCAATGCTCTATCTCCCCACAGCTGTGACATTGCCACCCCGCTGGCCTTCAAGAGGATGTCAGCCAACCGTGACGCCATCCACCCAGTCGCCGCCTCGGTGCTGTGAAGTCAACTCCACAGACTGATGGGAGAAAGGGGGGTGGGAGGGTATGAAGGGGAGTGGGTTGGGTGAGAGACGGAGAGGACATTCAACTCCAAGTCTGTCCGTGGTGGCAACTGTTTTCCACTCCCACTGCCAGCTTTCTATGAAGGACTCGGCCCCAGGACTCTGCGCCACTGGGTATATGATGCCCCTCCGAGCTAAGCGCAGTCAGACCAAAGACACACAACGAATAAAAAGCCTGTCAGTTTTTACAGCAAATGTGTTGTCTAAAAGTACTTGCAGGACAGGTGTTCCAAAGACTGACATATGACTGCTACACCACCCATCAACATAATTCCTCTCAGATTCTTTACTGCACATCTGCAAATGTCTCTGGGCAAAATGGGGTAATGTATAACTTCATGAATACAGAATCAAAGAAAAGGGAAAAAAAACTTTACATTAGTGTTTCAGGGTGCTTAATAATAATAATTGCTATTGTTTTTTTATGTTTGTATGCTTTTTGTTTATGATTTGATAAAAGTAACTCTGTTATGGAGCGTTGTTTTCCACTTCTCTAAAAGTGTAGCCTATGCAAGAGCTTCAAAGGGAAGTTTATTTATTAGATTAAAGGTACGTTGAATGAAGTGCAATTAGTCTTACAGAAAGCATGGACATCTCCACGCACATTTAGACAGAATTGGCATTGGGCACATTGGAGTCTAGAGCATTAACATAATTAATTGTCAAATGTTGCACAATGAAATTGAATGTATCTTATTAAATTGTTTGGCTTTTATTGGTCTTCGTGGAGTTTTCTGGCTGTTTGGGGATTCCTCAACACTTATTATTCGGAGAACAGAAAACAAGTGCACCATCACAGCTAAAAATATTTCATCTCTTTTTCTTCCAGCTATTCTAGACTCAGGGCATTGTGGCCTACTGGCCTGTTTTACATGAGCAGGAAACTGCTTTCCATAAAAGAAAAAAAAAAAAGACGTGTGCACGCTGACAAGGCCTGTATTTTCTATTACCATGCGTCATGGCTCACTAGGAAACTTCATCAGAAATGCTTTGGGAGCACGAGTGTTTGCGACCACTTGAAGCAATTCTTTGAAAGTCCTTTGGCCATTAAAAATGGGTACATGTCTTCTCACCTCATTACATTTAATGCGGTCCTTTCTGTAAGCATAAAAAATTATACCTGTGCATTAGAGTGACAAAAACACAATTTGAGTAATTTGGGTTCGCACTATTTTAACAGATTATTCCCATAAAAATTATAAATAAAAATAAAACACAAATGAATAAAATGTGGAAAACATAAGAGAATTTTGGACATTTCCCACTGCAACCAAACTGAAAAAAAGTCAAAATGCAGTGTATATTTATACTTTGAAACATAGAATATTCATTCCAGTAGAGCCCTGCTGTCTTTAAAAAATAATAATAACAGCCTAATGTCATGCATTATAATTTTCAACCATTTTAAGTCATAGAATTTTTTTCATATGGTTTTGTGGGAAAAATAGTAAATAAAAATATCAGCTTTTCAAACAAATTTGAGATCTGTGTGCCCAAGAGTCCTAGACTCCTGGGGTCAGGTGCAGTCCATGTACATTCAGAGAGCCACAAATAGACTCATTGGCCTGCGGTTTCCAAGGTCATCAGACATGTGACCCAAACACGAACCTCCAGCAGCCACATAAAGGGCCAAATAGGACTGTCAGGGCCAACTCAACGTGTTCATTACAAAGGAAAAGCACATAGGCCATCTGACAAATGACATGTTTGCAAAATGATGCAAAAATACTTTCTGAAAGTGTAGAGGGGGGAAGAGTGTAGTGTAATAAATTACGAGTGAGTCTGGCAAGCCCTGTCTAGCCCTGCAGTGGAAACCACAGATTTACACAAACTGGGCTTTAGTTGAAGTTGTAGATTGATAACTTGATATAGGTGCTTACCCAGCTCTTTCGCATAGCATTACCTGCTGCCGATGGTTCAGTAGGTGCGCGGCTCAGTTTTTCTTTCCCTCCCGCGATACAGCATAAACAGCCTCTGCACGTGACAGTGTCAACAGTCCTCCCCATGCAGGAGCTGATTTGACTTGGAAAGCAGTCTTCCCCGCATCCAGTGGTCACGGACCGTTGCTCAGGGATCGTAGTGTTTCTTTGACCGTATGTGAACCACATCACAGAGACGAGATGTTCACTCGCTGTACCAGCCAGCCATCACGGCCACCCTTTTACCATCCACCATCCATCATGAACGGCAAATGATAGTTAAGTCTCTGAGTGGCATGAAAGAGTCGTTACACGCTCTGTTCTTTACCTCAGCCGACACACAACAAGGCCAAACAACTTTTCCTTTCAACTAAGCTACATGAACTGCACACAGCCTTGTTAGTCTAGTCTGACTCACAGAACAAAATTAAAATGTGGTTGTCTTAATTGACAACAGTATTCAAAAAACAGGAACAGTGTGTTTTCTAGACAGGAGGAAGCTTCTCGAAAGTCTAACAATCCCTGCTCTTGTAGTTTAATGTTGGTCAGCTTTATGGAAAGAGAGGTCTAAAAGGCGTACTTAAAAAAAAAATAATAAGGGCAGACACGTGTTTACAATTAATTAAGTTGAGTCTGACTTCAGTGTCATATGGTTATCTTTACTTCTCCGCATGCAATTAGAAGCAAGACAGCCATTTACAGAGTAACACTGAGCAGAGAAAGTAATACCGGCTGAATACAGGACTTCATGCGTGCTTCTGCTCAATGAACACTTTTAAAAGCAGCTGACAACAGCCAGAATGTTTTCTTAATGTCTTAAAACAACAACAGTGAGGAGACAGGTGAGCAAAATGGAAAAAAATAAGTGCCGTGTTTTTAAAAATCACGTCTGGTGCCGTGTCTTTGTGTGTGTGTGTGCATGGCTGACTGCTTTTTACCTACAGTGTAAATTGCAGACATTTTAATATACTAATCATTAACCACATTTGCACTGGGAAAGGCAGGTAGAGCCATGCCCAGGTTGCAGCCTTGTCAAAGCGGAGCCACTGAATTGAGATGTTACAGATGAGGGTGGGAAAATCCATAAAAAGGGCGCAAAGAAAATGACGTGAGGGAGACTTATAAGATTTATGATTATTGCAGTGTGCAGGGAATTCATGGTAAAGTTTCACAAGCTTTTAAAATACAGATACAGATTCAGAACTCCATTACATAAAGGACAGGTTAAGCTCTTACAATTCCATCAGTCTTCAAGCCACAGTTGTTAGTCTCTCACCGCAGGCCCCTAAGCAAAAACTAGGAGCCGTTCCATTTTGGCAGAGAGTGACTCCCACATTAATGATGACTGTCAAATGCCAACGTGGCTCACTATACCAGCTACCAGATGAAGTTAAGATGAGTCTCTTCGAGAAGCCACTATGCCTAAGGCTGTGCAACAGGTGTGTGTATATATGTGTTTTTGAATATTTGTATAAGAAACAGACTGAGAGAGAGAGAAAGAGAATGTGTGTGGTAACCCCCTCGATCCCTGCAGCCCCATTTGAATTCTTGGGGCTTGTTATTTTAGCTTGCACTAAATGTTCGAGCGCTGACTACCCGCCAGAGAGAGAAAGACTGACACTAAGTTGGCTACGAAGCGCTCGGATGACAAAAAGGAGAGTGATGAAGTGGCAAACTGTAGAAAGGGGATATTCTTATATCGATGCCAAGATGAAACGGTCCCAGTTAAGACAAAAACAACAACACGAATCTACTGTTACAGGACACGCAACACACAATTATACAGTGACGAAAATGTGGGTTCATTTTTTCTTTTTATTTGTTACCAATACATGAAAGAACTGTCCAGTTGTTGTTTTTGATTTGAGGTTTTTTTTTTCTGGAAGGTCTTAAAAAGGAAAATCCACACAACATTTTATCAATAAAACCTTGAAAACATATAAAACTCAGATTTTTTTTTTGGAGGTACATTAAAAACAGAAGAATCCCATCGAATACTGTCCATTTTCATGGTGCAGGGTGCACCAAAACCTTCATATTTTCCATAGCACTTTTCTTGACAAAGCCAGAAAATGATTATTGAAAAAACTGAACTGCATGTTAAATTGTTGTTGTTGTTTTTTTTAAAATAACGTGGAAAACAGGAAGCTCTCAAAGATGTTGACAGTTTTGTGACTGATTGTCTCAGGCAGGACGGTTTGCCCCCAGCATCCAGTATAATTATGGAACGACATCAAAAGAGACTCTCCGCGTGCCTTTGCGATGCCATGGGCTTCTGGTGCCAAGTTTGATCCGTGTATTAAGAACAAACTGGCAAAAACATATGCATTAATAACTTTTGCAATAAGCTTTCATAACGTCAGTGTTCTTGTTAGACATTAAAACACTATTTCTGCTAAGGCTCAGTAGTACACGGATGAAGATAGGTGTAATCAATAAGCAGACTTCCAAGGAATCCTCCAAAAGTTGCAGTAGCACTGGAAGCAGTGCTTTGCTGCACAATGAGGTGTTCTTGAAGGCTGCTGAATTTAAATTTAAATATGATTTCTACTCTACACTATGTCTGAACTTCCTGATTGCATCTTGTATTTGCATTTATGAATACATATACCATAAAAAGATGAATATGTATATATATATATATTATAATGTGATAAAATAGGAGACTGGAGATTGATCGTTGTACAAACTCATCTTAATTGAGGATATATGTTCAAGTATAGCTGTAAATAGACAGAAATCAGGATAATCACAAAAATGCCTTCACTCTATTTTTGGTGTTTTATGTCATTTGAACACATTTCAAGTATTTCTATATAAATAGAGTTCATATTCTGAAGCGTTCAGCTCAGTCTACTTTGTCTTTGTCTATTTAATCTGTGATTGTTGCACCAAACCAGTGAGATGAGCCCAAAAAAGTAGAAAAACATGAGAACTACAACCAATGAAATGTGAAAACACTATGTTAATGCATGACTTCATTAGGAACACTGATTTGTCAATGATTTTAAACTCAATGAAGACTATTTTCAGGTATTAGAACAGTTCCTTCAGACTCAAAATGTGTTGTAGCATTTTGAATGTGGGAAATGAAAGCTGCATTTTAAAACATAATATAATGCTGATTTGGTAATTTGAGTTTTTTGTATTCAAGATAAAAAAAATATCGAATTTATTCCGATATGACTCTGATCAGGTAACGATACTTGCAATAAGGCACAGTTCATAAGGCACCATTGTGGGGTTCCCTGTTTTGTTACCAGTTTCTCTGCAGCCACTCAGACACATATTCATAGACCAACAGCATTACTGCTCCACCTGTGAGAGAATATAAAAGAAGTACCCGTTGTGAATTTGATTTTCAGAGGCTTTACTTCCCCAGTGAGTTTCTGAGAGCAGGAACATGTGAAAAGCTTGTAGCACTTGTTTACAAAGGAGGTGGACGGTATCTCTAGCTCACTGTATTTCCATTTAAAGCTTATTATTGTGGAATATTATGTAAATACTGTTCCTTGGAATCTGCTGAGAAGGAAATAGTGTTTGCTACAGCCTTATTTCACTGGAAGCACTGCATGCAAAGTTGAAATGCTAATATGCTTAAGGGAAGGCTTTTTCTTGCTTAATCGCTCTCTTCACCAGCCTTATCTGCTGCAACAGGTGTGACAGATGTGAGGATGACAATGATTTCAATATTAACACGAGGAATTTTTTTTTTCTTACCTGGTCCAAGCCTCATTATCTTGGGAACCAATCCCTTGTATAGTGCCAAATACCTGCAAAGAAAGGAAAGAAAAGCTGTAAGGTGTTAATGTGCAAAGATTTTAGCTAGAATCCAGTATATGTAAATCGTTTCAGTTTGCGTAATGGCTGTGCTGCGATGGAGTTGAAATGTAAATTAGTGCAAATGGAGTGGTGGTGTGTAAATTTTAGACTGCACATAAGTACTTCTCATGTGTCCTACTTCATATGTCAAATCCAGCACAACTCAGAGGCAAATTTTAAACCTCTGACATCACTTCATTTATTAAATATCATTTTAGATGCTTTGCAGATCTCAAAGAAAACCAATGTAAGTGAACTCTTGTGTATGATAATCTATTATCATTTGATCTAAAAAAGAAATTCAGAAGCTGCCTAGCAATTCATGAATCAAGCCCCAGCTTTATTAGATGTAATGTATGCAATGCATCAATACTTACAGTTCGCTATTATAATAAGCAAGTTCTGAATAGAGTCATTTTTACATGATAAATCTATTTGTTTTTGGAAGTGTTTGACTGATCTGAGTCCTTCCATATGCTGGTTGTATACATGCGCCTGTGCTCTTGCTTGTGAATGCATGAATGAGTATACATGTGAGAGCCTGTCTGTCAGTCTGTCTGTCTGCTGCGCTGCCTGTCTGTCACTCCATCAGGTATATAGGGTCCAGCGGCCAGCGCTACCGAGTACCTGCTCCTTAATGCATTCAAGGTGATCAGTGGCTGTCCGCCTCCGCCTCGTGCTCCCTGTCCCGCTCCCTGCCCCCGCCACTGATGGCGTTAATAAGGCTCGACCCACTTCCTCCCTGGCCCTCTGTCTGATTAGATTGACCCGTGGAGCGCCGTGCGGCTCGTTAGGGTCTGCTTAACGACGTCTCCCATAGGGACCACTAATTAGCTGGGACTGTGTTGTGTTAGAGAAGGGGACTGGATGTGGCGGATGGGGCACCATCCATGCACCCCTGCAACGACAACATTTCAGTGCCATTCTTGCAACAACCTCTATACTAACAACATCCACTAACTACAAACATATCGCTGGCCCTTGTCTAGCGGAGCAGCATGGGGGAAAGTGGAAAGCCTGAGGCAATTGCTAGCATAACATACATCTTTCCTTGAAGCTTCCATTTAGAGCTGTCATTCTTTGAGGCATGAAAATATGTTAACATTTACTAAACAACTGACAGGCTGCAGAAATGTATGATCGTACTCATGGGGAATACAGCCCAGAATCTAACATCATTATTTAGTTTCCATTCATTGGATCACAGTTTTGCATGAAGCTATTCGTGCTTTTTTGCTGTATTTAGTGTAGGAAAGTCACTCCACACAATCAAACCCTGCTAACTTGTAGCTCCAGCTGGTACATTTGTCTTCTCTGACAGCCAGTTTGGCAGATAACCAACTATCGACTGCTAACAAAACAGACAAAGTGGCTCATTAATTCTTGAATGAATCAGCATTCCAGCTTTTGTCCCGAACATCCCCTGTTTTTCTCCTCCCACATTTGTCCATACCCCTCTTCGCGGTACACTAGTGCCATGGTCTGGAAGCAGGTGCGGTACTTGATCTCTCCTGGCACTGGCTGGGGGCCCTGGATCCGGCTCTTGGCTACATCGAAGGGAATATTCACACAGGAGGAGATGGTCCCAGACAACAGGCCGATGGTAAACTTGCGCAGGAACTCTAGGGTAGGGTCCTGAAAAAGGAGGAGATAAAATTAGGTATGCCTTTTTAAGGGTGACACTTATATTTTTAAAGTGTGAACCACAGGGTTAAATTTGGTCCCATAAAACATAAACAGCAAATAGAGCTTTTGGAAATAAAAAGGAAAGTAGTGACAGGGAGTTGACAAAGTCAGCGCTGAGACATTATGTGTCTACGTCTATGAGCGAATGTGGGGGAGAGCATGAGGGGACTTGTGCATATGATTGCAAAGCTTGCATGAAAGCCCTGATCATTTTATGGTAGCGGGGGGCAGATTAGTGCTTCCTGACTGCAGTGCAGCATTCTGATTGGCTGAGCAGAAGCACATGTTCACCGGGGAGCCAAGACAGAGGATTTATAAACAGGGTTCATGCAGGCAGACTGGGGAGGCATATGGGGACAATTTGGGTAATTGGGCTGTGACTCGGCACAGGGGTATTACTGTACCAAAGAAGCCCAGACTCAGAGAGCTCTGACAGCTAATTGGCCAGGATATTTTTACAAATGACAGCAGCCTCTCTGGTCCAGGCCTTTCTCAAGCGGCTGGACACCCTGAGAGCCGTGGTAAATCAACAGCTAATCCCACTTTTTCTATTTTTTTTCAAGTGGGATGTGGAGAAGGGGGCAACGTAACTGTGGCCTAAGTACACCCATCAACCCACTTCCTAACAGCCTTAAGCAAACATCTCCTCACACATTCACTTGTGAATGATGGCAGTGTGCTATCTGCCTCCTCTGTTAGTCAAAAGGCCACATGAGAGAAACCTGGACTCGACAGTCTGAATTCGACTGCAGACAAGTTTGAGTTGCAAGCTCATTGCTCATGTTGCTGACACAAGGCCTTTGAAGAAACACCACTATCAGCTCAGCCTGTGAATTGCACAACGTCCGCAATATTTCTGCTTTTGCTGTCTCGACAATGGCCACTGTTAGCATCTAACAAACAGGATCGCTCCATCAATGTGCATCGAGACGGATAATTCCCAAAAAGCAACTGCCACAATCTAAGAAGGGAGCTATTTGAGTCATCCAGCCACATAATTATCATTCACAGAAGATGACCACTTGGTTTTCTGTACATCATGCGTCATTGGAAAAATGTTGAAAATTTAGCAGAGCCTGGCCTCCCACTGTAACCCTCCTCTTGAAAATAGTACAGTTGTCTGCTTCCAATTAGTTCATTGGAGTTAATCTAATGCTCCAGTTTGCACATGTGGAACTGGCGTATGGTAACGTTTCCATTAAACAAAATTAACTTTTGTTTGGGCCATCAGGAACTGCCGGATGTGTAATCTGAAACTTTGAGGATGTTATGAAGAGCAAACAGAAGAGGTATTAGTGGGGCTGATCTTACAAGTCCTCTCTGATTTTTGCTTCCTTCCCTCCATGCCAGTCAGGCTAACTAATAATACTGTTAAATACATTTGGTATTTCCCTGTGGCAAGGTTGTTGGCACACATGCATATCACATAGCCTATGGATAGCAAAAAAACTAGGTGTAGTCAAGGTTACCAATGTCAAAGCAAGGTTAAAGTGGTTTGGAAAAAAACCCCAAAACAAGTAAGTGTGTGATCATAGATTATGATTCGCATATTACCGGGTTGGTAGGAATAGCGTCCTTGACATTGAAGTAGAAGCCAAAGTAGATCATGTTGAAAACTCCATGGCGCCCCAGTGTTGATGTTAATCCTTTATTAAGGCCCCTCAGTCCAAAGCCGTCTGACTTAATTATCCGTCTTGCTTGGGCAAAGGAGGAGGGTTGCTGTATTGGAAAGATTGAATTCGAAAGAAACACATGTGAGCAGATTTCTATGGAAAGATGTGTAGATTACCAATATTTTACACATTATGACAATATTTGATTTCAGTCAACCTCTTTGAAGGAATCCCTGTTGGCCTGGAGACTGACTTTCACCACCTCGAATGGATTGATCACTAAAGCCTCAGTCAAGCCAGAACCAAGCCCTGCTGCAGACAGCGCCTAAAGGGGAGTTGGACGTGATTTAGGACTCAGAATGTGGAGATAATATTTGGGTAGAGACAGAGCAAACTAGATAAACTGATGAAGACAATGAAGAGTGACAACGTGTCCGGGTTACAAGAGCTGCCGTTGTTATTTCATTTCCAGAAACCTGAGTCTTTTTGTCTTGTCTAAAATATGTATTCGTCACAGCCATCATTGTTACTTCTTGACAAATGCTTTAAGACGCCTGTGTTTATCATCAGACAGAATGCCAGATGACAGATGGGAATGAGAGGAAGGTGAGTAGAAAGTAGGAATGTGAGCAAGGTAACAAACTTGCACTGAAGAAGCCAAAAAATTATTTTCTGCTTTCATTCATCTCATCACAATCAACATGCACTAATGTAGCACCGATTTTATACAACTGGCTGTTGCAACACTGCATGTACTTACATTGGTCTGTCTATTTCTGCATCTAAGTGTGTGTGTACATGTGTGTGTGTGTACATGTGTGCGTGCATGCGTGCTCAGAGCAAGGCGTAATGGGAACATGTCAAGAACGTGTCTATAGCTCATTACTCTTCCTGCCTCTTTATCCTGCTGTCAGAGCCCCGGGACCCATCCTCTCAGACATGCCTCGCGATGTTTACACAGCCAGCGAGCCACGTTTTAATTCCTTATTTGTATTATTACTGTGTGTGTCCTCATTAATCAGAGTGAAGGCATTCAGCTGTGCCATGCTGAATAGGGGGGAAGAGAGAGCATCATTCACAACCAATCTGTAATTCACTTGCACTAATGATCTGATGTGATTACAGTACTTGATATGCGAGGGCCTCTGGGGGGAATGGGGTTAGAGGTACTTGAGGAAGAGGAAGGGATGGAAAGAAGATAGTCAGAAGGAGGCATAAGAAGAGTGGGAAGAGGGCATGATGAATGGGACAGGTAAACATTACTCCAGAAATGGCTGTAAAAACAAGATGAGGATATTCTCCACGCTGGGGCGGCTTTGACACTGAGCTACAGGTAAGCCATCCATCATGGCTGACACTTGGCTGCCACCTGAATAGGTGGTGTGCGGTGACCACACCCCACCAATACAAATCTTTCTAGCTTAAAACTCTGACTCAATATAACAGAAAATCAATTACTCAAGAAGGATGAAACCTCTTCTTACCTCATGGCCTGTGGTGTAGCCAGTCTCCAGAATTAACAACCGCCAAGCAAGTTGGTCAAGTTGGTTTTAAAGTACTGTGTTAAATATTAGACTATTTTGGCTCTACTTCCAAACATCGGGGTTTGAAAGGAGTGGTGACTATGAAGTTTTGTGGGTTCATCTTAATTTAAGAGGCAATCTGTGTTTATGTCCAGGCTATAAAGAATCCCACCTGCTTAACTTGGGGATGAAGAGAAAAAGGTGCTACTATATAAACGATATAATCCCAGTGGGTTGTCCCAGTGTAGCCACGCTGCGATAAAATAACGTGATTAAAGTTAACTAAATGGGAACTTGAAATTTTAATACACTGATTTTTAACTGCCTTTTTTCTCGAATTGGGATTAGTTGCTGTTGGACGTGCAGTTGAGGTTGGGTAAACGATATTATCTGATCAGCTGTCTCAGTTGTTATGAATTCAACCTTTAGCTCACTAGCATGTCACAAACTTTGCTGGACTCCTTTTGCTGTTTTAAATTGTAAGGTCTGACTTCCCATATGGCTGAGCTTATTTAAAAATGACTGAATGTCACAGCAGACAGGCAGTATTGTTACCGCCATAGCTTTTCTACTTGCTTTACATTCATTGTAGAATTGCAAAGTGATTTTTCGTCTGTGTCAGCAGTGAAGGGGCACACTCATTTTGTTTGAATAAGCATTAATCAAATTGTCAATGGACAAACCAGACTGCAGATTCCAGGATTATACCGAGTGCAAGCACTATGATTGCTGTTGTGACTCCAGGTTACAGATTTGGGTTGTCTTTTATATTAACACAACATACAGCATGGGCAAAACGCAGCACCTGCCCAATGTTAAGTCTGCACCGTAGTCTTATGGTAACTGTTGCTGTTATGCAACATTTAGAAACTGATGGACATTATGGACAATGCTGGGCATCCTCTGCACACGGCCATAAACAACCAGAAGAGTCTGTTCAGTGACAGGTTGCTTCTCCCCAAGACAAGAACTAACAGACTTAAAAACTCCTTTGTCCCACACGCCATCAGACTGTTTAACTCCTCTCTGGAGGGGAGAGGGAGGGGAAACAGGAGGACAAAGGAGGGGGGAACAACTAAGCTGTAGTGCCTCTGCACCTCACTGTACAATACCTTGTGCAATACTTTTTGTAAATAGTCAACAGTGCAATAGACTCAATACTTGAAATGTGCAATTCACTTGTATTTTTATTTTTTATTCCTATTTATTCTATTTATCCCCTTTGTATATTTTATTTATATTTGTCTCTGTATTTATATATGTGTGTGTGTGTGTGTGTATATATATATATATATAACAGTTCTGTAACTGTAACTTTGGTCGTTGCTGTGCTTTTTTTGGAAGTCGAATTTCCCAGAGGAACCCACCCGAGGGATTAATAAAGTTCTATCTTATCTTATCTTATCTTAGCTCCTTCCTATCTTCAATTTAAAAAAAAATCTGAATAGATTCTCACACAGTGTGAGTCAATGAAATGAAAACAAAGTAATTATTACTTGTGTAATTTTAAAAAAGCCTTCTAATAAGCTGCCAGTTATACTGGATTAACACATACGTAGCAGCACCGAACAAACGCTTGTAGTTTTTGTGGCTGCTCTGTTGCTGGGAATGAAGCTCATAAAAGCAAAGGTTCAGCCAGAGACATGGAGTCATTAGTGCCACACTGATCACAGCTGATGTCCCAAACTGAGTGCCAACTACATATAAATGTTGCTTCATACATTTAAATGCTAAACTGAGGTGAAAGTGGAACATTCAGGGTTTGTTTCAGAAGTTCTAAAAATGACATTGACAGCTACATAAATGACTAAATGTGTGCTGAATTGCTCGCACTATGCCAACAGTATTAATTTAAGCTCTGGAAATCATTTCATGTTTATCTTGTCCAATGTGTGACCAAGATAAAAAACACAAAATGAGTAAGAATTTCCCTTCTAAACCTATTCCTTCATTACTAAAAGTTTTACATGAAACAGCACTGAAAATGAAATGTTAACAAGGACATTTACATTTTTATTAATTCATTTGCCTGGCAAAATTATTCTTGGCATTTGTCTTTGTTTTAAAAGCCTTTGGCAGGTGAGCTGTTTTTATACTCTAAAACATTATTCCAAATCCGGTGTGCGTGCGTATTTCTTTTTTCAAGTGAGAGTGTATTCAGGTGTCCCTGGATGGAAGACTCACCACACCGGGAGACAAAGGGGTCAAATTCAGCAACTTCTTGTACTGCTCAAAGGTGAAAAACTGCAGTGGGAAAGATCAGGATAAAAGCGCTGTCAGAAAGTGACATCTGTGCACACATACACACCCACATATGGTGTACATAAAGAAAGCTACCTTAAAAACACACAAAAGGAAAGGGGGAACTACATGAAGATTGCATGTATTTAGTAAACGAACATGAAATGACGGTACGCTTTGAATTTCAGACCTTGATCTTTGTGGAAAGACAAAAGTCTCAAAAGCAGACAGATCCACGGATCTGTTTATTTGACCAAGGGCAAAATGCCAGCAAGACTGTTTTAATCGGAGCTTTAATTTGTTTTCTGGCTCCAGACATTTCTCACCACCTAGCTTTGTTCTCAATGTGAGTGATTACCCCATCTTCTCAGTGTGAGTGCTTACTTTTAAAGTTCACACATCCTTGTTTCCAGCATCTCATTACAGAGGTGTTCTATGCCAAGCATCAGGGCCCTCTGCGCCACCCAACCCCCCGCTCACCCCAATCCCTGTCACCCCATTACACGTTAGCTCCAAATGCTAAACCTCATTACAAATATCCAAAGATGGCTCTCAAGAGATGGCTTTCTTTCAAATGCTTGTAAGTCAATATTTGGAAGACCAACAGAATGAACAGGAGTGGCTGAGGAGGCAGACATGGCAGAGGGCGTCATGTGTTTAATCAACACGTGTGTACCATGTTAGAACGATTGTGGTTTGAGTGTTTTCATATGGGAGTGAAGCAGTTTGCCAAGAAACCAGATCCTGAGCGTTGCATCATATGCCGAGAAGCTCTGCGGCCATCAGTGAACAAACGGCCATGTCCTTTGTCTCACCTTGACTGCTCTCTTTGGTGTCTCTGCCAGAATAGGAGGTAGGATTCCCTTGTAGAATCCAAATACTCTGTAGAAAGAGGAAATAAAATGTTTCTCTGTAAAGTGTGTGTGTTAGTCCCCATAGGGAAATAGTTCCTCTGCATTTAACCCATGCACCCAGTGAAGCAGTGGGCAGCCACCAGTGCAGCGCCCGGGGAGCAGTATGCAGGGACGGTACCTTGCTCAGGGGTACCTCAGGGTAGCCGTTCAGTGGAGTCGAACCCCCGACCTTCCGATCATGGGGCCACCACTCTACCTAATGAGCTATCCCTGCCCCTCTCTGGCACTGAATTCGACTTAAGTTTTTGTAAAATGTTAGTTTACTTTTACATTGTAAGTGTAGTGTATCAACACTACACGTACATCGGATCAACCAAACTGCTGCTGAAATATCCTCTAATACACTGATAACTTTACATCAACTTATTATTCATCGTTGTAATGCAATACAGCTCAACACCACAGCAACTCTAACTTAGGATACAAAGTACAGATTGCATAGGATTTAGGAAGTTTTAGTTATGCATTTTGCCATGTTCCAAGACAAGTTTCAAATGGCTGCTCACTGATTTTCATATTGTATGGAAATAAGTGGAAGCCAATGAACGTCACAAGGCAGCGTGGTGCAGTGGACAGCACTGTCGCCTTGCATCAAGAAGCTTTAATCCACTATTCAGGGCTATGCATGCTTGATAAAGACTTGGCTTTGCGTGATGTCGCAGTGACTTGCTAGTCAAATTTGAGTTAAGGAATTCATACAATGTGCAGAATTCCTGTTTAAGGTTTATATAAAGGTTTAAAAATCACAAAGGGATTGGCGTGACATTTTCTCTTCCTCCTTATTCAGCAAGGCACATTTTCAGATATACTTTCAAACCACAAACCCTGGTAAACATGTTCTACATGAATATGCTGAGGAAATGATTTAAGGGTGTTTTTTCAGTATTTGATATGTTGGATATTTCAGAAGCAGTAGCTGTATAATTTTAGTCAATTTGGTCGTTTGCCTGTGCTCGATCATACATCCAGCCATGATTTAAGGCAGAGTCAGAGCCAGGAAAAATAATAAAATGATACAGTGAGTTATTCATATTGAGATGTGTACCTACATGGAACACAGGCTATATTTTGGAAAAGCGAATTTTATGTAATGCCTTCACAAACTAAATGAACAGATTGTTAAATTAGTCATTAACACACTTATTGGGTGCTTTTTTTGAATTATATACAAATCTCTTCTTAACCTTTCCATGCTGTGTTCAGATTCACTCAGATTCTTGGATATAAGCTGAGTTACCCTCTCATAGGTAAATGCCCCTTTGTAACCAGGTGAGGTATGTTAACGGCTGATGGAAAAGTAACAAAAGAGCACATATATAGATTCACACGAATGTCTGACTGGTTTTTGATGTACACATGCAAGAGGACAGTAGTAGGCTTTGTTTTGCACACTGCATGTTTCGTATACATTCAGAAGTGCACACACATGCATTTCCCACAGCCTTCAGTTAGGTCAAAACATGTTAGAACATTTAGGACATTTGTTTGAACTGGTCTAGTTTACACTAATGGGGCCAGATTGACATACTTTAACTTTTTCTTACTAGTTGTAATATGTTGTTTTTGTCAAACTTTACCACGTGTGCCACAGGCTCCAGGTCTAAAACGCAGCACATCTGAAGCATCGGATACTTTGAGTCATTAGCTTTTGTGTTGATAGCAAACTGTTCCTGGCAACAGCTACCTCTCCTCCACTATTATCATTCCTAAATGTTGTTTTAAGGGGACTGTCTTGAATTAAAACAGGTAAAACAGGTTTAAATCTTCAAAGAAGGGAAGCAGCAGAGGCCACTACTCTTATACTATCAGTATAAAGGTCAGGACAGGTCAGGACATTTTTATCCATAATAAATCAATCAATCTGAAGATGGGGTTATGCATGTGTAATTGCGATAAATATTTCAATAAATATTTTGTTTAATTGCCGTGCAAAGCTCAGGGCAACGATGTGTAAACACATAACAAACGTGTTGCTATGGAAAAACTACATTCTTTTGTGGTCACCACCCATCACAAGCTTTTTAGATTTCCCGCTTCCTTGTTTATTTACCATTGAGATATTTTCCATGATACAAATTCCATTCATGGAAAATGCAAAATATGCTCTTCGATCACAACGTTTCAAAGCTTCCTCTGTTCAATTTTTTTGTTGCTACCTTACTTCTTGAAAGAACACTTTCAAATGACATCAGTGGTTATTGTGAAACTGCAAGATGGCCTTAATAAAAAAAGTTTCATTCAGCTGTTTTCTTTTCTTTAAAAAACAAAATAAAAAACAAAATAAATATTCCGTGGCTAGTTATCTGTGCCAGCTCTAACCTTGAAAAGTGAAAACACACATCAGTGAATCAGAGATGCACATTATGGCATGCCCTTCATTACAATGTGGAATACAAGTCATTTTGAAGGAATAGCTACCAGAAACCTGATGGCGTTCTGAAGATTTACTTCTAAAACTCAAGGCTGATATTAAAAGTCTTTGCTATGCTACAAAATAAGAATTTCTCTTTCTCGACCTGCAGATAGAGACTCAAGTAGAGGCTCCAAATGTGGGTTGATGCACAGCTAAAAAAAAAAAAGGTTCAGAGAAAAGACACGATTTACTCGGTATTTTGATTTAATAATAAACACTTCTCAGTTGTTTCAGGAAATCATCTAGCCTCCCCCCCATTTGTCATCTAAACAAACACACCACCCTGACAGCAATTAATGGGACTAAGGAGTCAAAAACTAATCTTTTAGGCCTTTCCAAGGAGTTTACTGACAAATAAAAAGTAGCCTTATTACCAAAAATAATTTCTTTATCTAAAAATAAAAAATAATAGATAATAATATTCTGTAAATGTACACATGGTCATTAAATATTTGTTGTGGCGAAGGGAAAGCGAAACTATCAGAGAGGGCAAACTGATATTGAATACAAGTCAAAGAGGACAACATGGCGTGGCCGACTGTATCCTGTGAACAGCAGCACCAGCTCTGTTGTGGCAACATTCTCTAAAAGTCAACAGAGATGATCTTGGTTGATTGGGTACAAGTGTAAATATTTTTGCTGCTGGAACACATTTCCACTGACTATAACCTGAGACCGACAGGCGATTACGCTTGCACAGAATCCACAGCGGCGAGGGCGCCTAGCAAAAACAGCAGCAAACCACAACTAATTATCAAAAGACTTTTCATCAGGTGATCCAGCCTATTTGATCAACACCTGAAGCTACACAAGCAGCGCTGGGTCTGGGTAATTGAGCCCGCATTATCATGCCAGAGCAAGGGATTATCGCTGAGCAAAATGCTGCCTGGAAGCCAAAAATGAATCTCTTATATGGTTTGTGTAAACAAGTTATTTCAGTCAGACGGAAGGCCTTTCCCTCTCCTCTCTTTGTCCATGCAAATGGTGGCCACAGATTTCCCGGGTGTGGTCAGGCTGGGGAGCCACCAGGTGATGAAGGAGGAGTGAAATTTGTTACAGAACAAATATGGCCTCTAGTGAGTGGCCATCATTTGAATCCTTATTTGATTGCCAATGTAAAGTACACACTAAGTCCCTTTTTGTCTTTCCTAAACAAATGGCCTCCTGACACAGAGCGAGGGATGAGGGATGTGTATATCCCAGCATTAGTTGGGTGTACTTGTATGCTTGTGTGTGTAATTTGGCTTTCATTTTCATAAACCTTTCCTTTTTTAACAGCCTTCATCCATCTGGAGAGAAGCGTGTCAGTGACACAACTACACAAAAAAGACCAACTAAATAAATCCACTAACAGCGATACCAGTGACAGAAATAAAAACAGACAAAAATAGCGTAACAGTGAAAATGTGCAAACCTGGAAAGTTGCTGCGATTTACATTTTGGAACACACATTTTATTTTCACAGTCTTTGAGGAAACTGAAAAATGTTGCACAGGGAATATTTTAGCATTTCCTAGTGCCTGTTAAAACTTGACATTGCTCCTAACAGGAACTAAATAACAGAATTCCCTGTGGCCAGGATTAAATCCACCAAAACTGCTTCCGTTTATGCAACTTAGATGTCACCTAAGTCACGAATAGCTATAACTAGAATAAAAAAAACCCTGTGTTACTGACGTAAGAGATTGTACGATAAACACTTTTACCTGCTGTAACAAAAGGACGCTATAGCACATGTTGTGGTTGTCAGGGGTTTGAGATTTGGATTAATCTAGCACAGTCTGTAAGATAAGTAGGTTTAACAGTAGTTTAACAGTATACTGTTCTTTCTTGCTTTGATTCTGAATCATTAGTTTTTATTCATCTCTGGCTTTCTTCCACATTGTGTCTTTTGTCCTGACTCCCTCTGCTCACCCCTTACCGGTCGCGGCAGACGGCTGCCCCACCCTAAGCCTGGTTCATGTTTCTTCCACTTAAAAGGGAGTTTTTCCTTCCCACTGTTGCCAAATGTTTCCTCATAGTTGATCGTATGATTTTGAGGGTTTTCTTTCTAGTATTATTGGGTCTTTACCTTTCATTATAAAGCACCTTGAGGCAACTCTTGTTGGGATTTGGCACTATATAAATAGAATTGAGGATTAGATATATGTGTATTTTCCTTTATAAATGCAATGCAAGTAGGTCAGTTTAGGATCAAAACTAAAAACAGAAGACAGCAGCTGGCCTTGACAATGTCTCTTTACCTCCTTACTATATCTCCATCAAAAGCTCACTAATAATCTTGGACTATCTTTCCTTTATAAGCTATAAAACTTAATTTCCCTTCAGAGATCCCAGTTATGCATGTTTCCAAAAATGCCAAATATTCCTTTAACCTATTCCTTTCACCGTCGCATTTCATACATGATCTGGATCATCATAATCGTATCTGCTCTTCTTCACACTACCACGAATGTATACATATTTTTTGCATGGGTGGTCCCAGCTGGATTCAACCCCACATCCCTCAACCCTACAGTGTTAGTTCCAGGCATTAGTCACTCATCTTCAGTATTTCCACCGTTCTCATGTAATGCATGGACCCTTTTAATATAACCATGGCCGCGCTTTGGGTCCCGACCCAGTCTCTGGATACCACACTAGCAAAGAATGCTAGAGAATAGAGTCTTTTTGTTTGCCTCCAGACGGAAACACTTAACACATGCTCACGCTGCTGCACCCACATGCAAAAAAAGAAAGAAGTGCAGACTGTAAGGCAATACACAACCAAGTGTTAGTGAGTGTAGTTCACACGGTCACACACTTATGAGCACAGCTACAGGATTTCATGCTATATTTCAGAGATGGCAAATGTAAAATTTTAACAGATATAACTCTTAATTCGTGTTAAGCATTCACGTGCATCTCCTTGTATATGAAATTAAATACTATAGGTGCAGCTATTGTGTCCAGGCTTGTGTCTTTCTTCAGCTTAGTCACTGAGCTCAACTTTAGAGCTCAGGTTTCCTCCCTCACCGCCTCAAAGAGGGAGAGAGAGAGTGAGAGAGAGGTCTGGTGTTGGCCCTGTTCTGCCATGAGCTGACGGGAGAAGTTTATTTTTAATAATAATTCTACAACAGTGGGGCCTAACACTATTTATATAAATTATAACTAAGTGGTTTGGCCTGTAGGTAATCCTCAAAGTGCTACTGGGGAGTGATTACATACTCAGCAAAAATATACTGTTAATGATAATTGGTCGACAAGGAAGTGGATCTTCCGTATTCAGTGATTCTGCGGCACGTCTCGACTTTGTTAGATGAGATCACACTCAAACAGCACTCAAAAGCTTATGTTGATATTGTGAACGCCACGCTTTATGTCAACCATTTTATGTGCCAAAAGAATTCTCTGGAAATTCGTACAAGGTTAGTCCCGCAGGACACACCCAAAAAGTAGGCAAAGAAGCGTTAAATGTCACACTGTCAGCATGCGTATGGGGTGAAGAGGGCATGGCTACTGTAACAGCATAAGTGTGTGTGTTGAACTCCAGCCAACTGAGGATTTCTAACTGTCACTAGCCAGCCTCTTGCCTTGCGCTCACTCACACCTTGCAGCAGATCAACTTTATATCCGCAGTAAAGCTGTCGGCTCATCGTAAACAGAGCGAGTGGCAAACACTTTCTCCTACGCCTGCTCTATCTCACAGACCTGTGACAGGGCAGGCAGACGAGGAGGGAGCATGGCAGGATGGCTGTCTTTAGTTAGTCTACTCGTATCCTGTACGAGATACAGCGTATAATAAGGTATGTTCAGTGGTTTGCTGCACGATATTTTTGGAGGCTGACAGACACATCAGCCATTTTTAAGGAAGCCAAACTGTAATGCTCACATCCTTATAGCCACCAAACCACATAACTTTTGGTTACATTTAAATAAAGCAGCATGTTTGGAAGAAATGTCACTCACAGCATAGCTGACTACATACTTTTCTCCCTGATATGCTGTTAGTATGACAGCAACAGTAGCTTTTCCTAAGAATTAAAGACATAAAAAGCATAGCATACCTATGGACACAACAGCATAAGCAAACACCAAGTTTTTGGTGGCCAACTTAAAGTTTTGCCTTGATGTCACAGTACATTTTATTGTTCTAGGTTGTTGTAATAAAGATGCATTCATTGAGTTTGTGCTTGACTTTTGCCCCTCAAGGAACTATTAAAAAGAAATGAATTTAATAAGCATAGGCAAATAATGGCACTATCAACCTTTGTGTTTTTCATGTGCAGGAAAACAGAAAGACTCATGAGTGGCTTCCCGTGTTATTTTGAATCACTACTGAGGATAACCTACCCTTCACTCTGGAAAATTGTCCGGAAGCAGTGACCCAGGCTCTTGTAGCTGGTGGGGTCAGTGGTGCCTCTTTGGATCTGAAACCTGCAACAAGAAATTTCTGATTAAAAATTCAGTTACTTTAAATATTATGATCATCAGCTCCATCAACTTATGTTAACTCTGCATAGGGACTGTTATCATAGCTAGATGTTGGTTTCTTTTAATTTCTATCCTCATTTCCTGTGTAGGCTATACTCCGACATGGCTTCAAAAGCACAAATTTGAGCTTGTTTTCCCTCTATTTTCTTCCCTCTCTTTTTTCCCTCCTCCACTATGATGAGAGGCTCCTTCCACTCAGTGCAGGAGAGAACTTAAACATTTATTTAACCCAACTGATCCAATTAACCATGCAACACACCAGGACCAGGCCTTTTGCACAAAGCATTTCAGGTACTAACATGCCAGCAAGCCTATAGTAACAGCTCTTGAGTTACGTGTAAATTTTTAATACGATGGAGCCAGTCGAGTGACTTTTTGTTGTACAGCAAACATGCAGGTACCTCTCTAATAAAGTCTGGTGAGCTGTGTGTAAATCTTGAAAGAATGAATAGAAATCATGCTTGTTAGTGGTAAAGAGCTTCAGGTACTCATTTAAGACTCCTCATTTAACACCACTGTATGCCTTGGAATTAGAGAAAACATGATGAAATAACTAACGTCTTATATGTGAAATGAGATGATGACAACTGTGTTTAACAAGATGACAAAATCTAACTTGAAGATCTTAAATAACATTAGCAATTCTGAGGAGCGAAGCAGGAGACACGAGTAAAAAAAGCAGGCAGTAATGGGACAAGAGAAAGATTCCCTCCTCATATGGCTTCAACTTCTAGGTCACAAGGTCAGCAGTAAGTCGTCCACGCGGGTGCCTGATGGGGCCATAAAGAGCCCCCAGGTTCCAGTGGAGGGGAAGTTTAGTGGGGTGAGCGGCCTTTCATATCACTAACAGATTAACATCTTAGAGGGGTGTCCCTCAAATCCTATTTGGTGGATTCCCAAATAGCTTGTAACTGGTTCCTGAAAACTAGTAAAAACAGGATAATAAATAGATGTCTGACACCATATTAAAGACAAGAAGAAAAGAAGGACTCAAGGTATGAGATGATGGTGAAACAGGGGGTACTGGGAGGAGGCAAAGACCAAGAAGATTTAAGACCACAGGGGCTTGTAAACAAATTCAAATCTGGCTTAATTAGAGTCATATGATGAAGGGGTCAAGGATGGAAGGCACTCTGTCCTCAGTCTCCCCCTGTCTCCTTTGCTTGCCCTACTTCGACCCGAACTGGCCCTAAGAGAGTGAGGTTGGCAATGCCGTGGTCCAGTTCCAGCCCCCTGACTCCACTCGTAACCCCGGGGTCACCTCATTTCCTCATGGCCCTCTTCTACCCTGTCATAAAAGCCAGGGACCAAGCAGAAAGGCCCAGGGAGTAGAAGATAATAGGGATGAATATAAGAACTTATGGCAGCAGGGGAACTGTCAGGCCCCTGGCTAGGAAACTGCTTGTGTTGCTTTTCACAGCAACCAGTTGTAGAAAACAAGACCCAAAGCTTCAGTTGGTTGTGAGTGGATGTCCTGTTTGGGGGGATTTGTGCAGACAAAAAGCTCTAGTTTCTGTTAACACGGCCTCAGTGAATACAAAGATATACTGGTTGGCTGAAGAAGAGCAAAAGATATCCTTTATATTGCTCTGGCAGATTTGCTTGGCCTTGGAGTCAGCCCTGCAAGTCATAAACTCTACAGACGGAAGACCCAAGGAAAACCCTGGGGCTTCTTTAAAACACACTGCTTGGAGCATCTTCTTCAATCATCAGTGAAAGCTAATGGAGATACAGTATACCAAGAGGTGATGAAATCTGCAAGTTCATCAAGGCTCCCCCATTTGTTCTTCACCCACATCCTACTCTCTCTGTACTTGTGCTTTATAGGCCCAGAGCTACCCGGGAGAGGGTGAAGGCGAGGGCAGGTTGGTGATTCTGCAAACGAGACAAGCACTCTTGTTTAAATAATACGAAAGACCTCGTCCACCTGACCTCCAATACCTATAAAAGCACAAATGTCAGGCATCCACAAAGATGTCAAAAAGGTAAAGGAATGTGCAGTAGAAGGCTAGAGCCCCATTCTTTGTATTTTTATGGATAGCAGAGGAGTGTTTCAGGGCTTAGCAAGGCTATGCCCGCTCCCAGACCCTTGTGGTAATGGGCTTGAATGGGCCACCGACAAAATGGGCTGTCATCTCATAGATGGTGAGATGTGGAGGTGAACCTACAGACTGTGTTAAAAAAAAAAAGCCTATAGGAAGGGGGTTGCTAGGTTGATTCAAGCGCATAGGTTTGACTGGGCAGATTTAAAAGCCTTTCTTAAGAGATATGGATATTCCCTTAAAAGAAATTAATAGCTGGATGAGTTTGATGACTTGCTATTTATTTAAAAACTCTTATTTATAGCTGTTCAGACAGACTGACATTTAATTAAAACACTAAGTAGAGAAGTAATGACCTAATCTACAACAGGCAGTTACCTATACCTATCTATTATACTGTAGTATTTCATATAGTGCAATTTTCCCCAAGTATGAATGTTTTATGATTTATGTGTTTTGCTGCGTATTTGGACTGGTTGCTACAGTGAGAGCCTTGATCTGCCCATGCCTTCTCTCTTGGAATGCCAAGTGCTTTGACAAAAAAGGAGAGAAACAAAAAATATGATTGAAGAAAAAGAAGAAGTGAATCACAAGGGGGAGGAATGAAAGTTGAGCAATTTCTCATGTTAGATCTGAAGTACATAAGACAATCCAGAAGGAAACATAAAGGGGAAGTCTATTTTTTACAACCAGACAGTTAATTTTAATGAGCAGGATCATAAAGATGGTAAAAGTCCATTGCATTGGTACATGAGGTTACGACCACATTTCCGACATAAATGGTCCAACATGGCAAATTCCTTCAATTGTGACTTTAGCCATACAGTCTTGCATCAGGGTAAAGAGCCAAAATAAAAGGCTCCCGTCTTATTGTTTTGACAACGGAGATGACTTAGTCCCACAGAGTAAATAGTGTGTTCGATTTAAAAAGCACCATAAATTAAGGTGTATCACACTTAAGTTTGATTTCAACTCATCTATGCCCTGTCCATAAAGAAATGAGCAAAGAAAAAATTGATATATTAAATCTATAATAAAACTGTTACAGGAAAAACTGAGAATAGGAGCAGAAGGGATATAAAGACAAACCTTTGGAGAACAGAATAGGAAAAAATATTAAAGGGGAAGAAGATGTGAGATGGGAGCTCAAGGGAAGTGATAAACTTTTGGTGCTTGCAACACGGCAGGCTGCCAGAGTTTGATCTGGACCAGGCCAGGTTAGGTTTCACCAGCACCCACTGGATCTGGGAAATCCCAAATTATACATGCAGTCTGGATATCAGAAAAAAAGTTAGTCTGGTTGTTAAAGGGGCTACAAAATCCTTCTGTCATTCTGGATTCTCTCTCACACTGATAAAACTGGTTCCTCTGAATCCCAGTGGTGATGTTGGGACTGTTTCGCTAGTCCAGATGTCTGCTCATATGCTGTGACCCTTGTGACCTGAGATCAGGCAGTGTTACTGGAGAAGAGCAAGAAAAAAAGCTGCATAAAACACCATGAGGCAGGGCCAAATGCTTTGAGCATTACAAACTTCTGCTTGACTAAGAGATAACTCTGTGTTAGAGTGGACTGTGGCAAATTTAGAACGTGACTGCTGCAGAAGTGGATCAGATAGGTGGAAAAAATGAGCAGTCTTACCACCATTTCCAGAAAACGATTGCATAACAGGAAGGATTTCTTGGGTGTTTAATCTAGAGTCTTTTAAACTCTGCCAACTGCTGTTAGCTGAAATTATGGCGCTATGGTGCAGTTTTAATTATGGCATCATATAAAAGTAAAAGTAAAACAGTAAAACCTCTTTTGCAGGTTCTTCAAGTACAAATTAAGAACAAAGAAAAAAAACTCAGGTTACTATAACTCAATATTATTTTTTTTTATCATGGCTAAAACTAGACCAACTCTCTTTTTCGATAATTAAGGTACTAGTCTTTCGATTGATTATCTCATCAGTCATAGAGTAGTCCAGGAGAGGACAGTAGAAGCCACGGTTGGGAACTTCTGCAATATTGTTTAGACTCCCATGAGCTACCAACATGACATGTCTCAGCCTTGGCTCAGGTCTCGACTGAATTTGCCAATAATCATACTTAACCTCCTAGGACCTGACATTACATTTTGGGTTATTTAGACCAAAATACTAAATTTTACACAATAAGGGCCTGATATCCACTTACGAGGACATTATACTGCTACTGTTCTATGAAAATTTTAAACGAATATCCTCATATGTGGCTCTTATTTTTCTTAAAAACAAAAATAAGGTAAAAAAAAAAAATCTGGTAATTCTTTGTTTTTACATTCATCGGGCCCCAATATGCCGAAATATCAAAGAGAAATTAAAAATGCATGCGGTGGAAGAGTTCGGGTCTTAGGAGGTTAAACTACAGAGGCCTTGTTTCAAGAAATTCAGTCATCTTGCTGTTATATTCTTCATTTGTTTAAACATTTGTGTCATGATGTTTTAGGGTGTAGATGCCAGTTTGTCTCAGGGCTTGTAATATTGTTATTTAAAGACTTACTGATCAGAAAGTTGTTGAAAAAGAGTCACCCAGCCACGTGTGGATAAAGAAGAATACTGTTACCTTTCTCTGTTGCTTTTCTTTCAACTTTCTTTTCATCACATATATCTCTTAAACTCTTTCTTGGACAAACTGCTATCTGCCCTTATCTGGTATCACTGACTAAGAAGTAAGCATAACGCTTTGTGCAAGTGCAGGCCACACTAATTTTTACTGGACGCCATCCAGATCTTTTAGCTTAAATCCAGTTATTTTAACCCTTGTGTGGTGTTCGTATTTTTGTTACTCAGCCAGTGTTCATGGGTCTGGTGGACCCGCTAGAGTTTTGGCTTTCCAAATTAACACTATCAAACAATTTTATGTTAAATTACTCAACAGATG